ACGCATTCTGCAGTTTTTAATATTTTTGTATTTTTTTGGTTAAAAAAAAATAGCGAAAGCACATTGCTTTTTCTAGTTCCCCCGATTTATATTTAATATTAAAATACAGCCTTTTTGTAAAAACTGGAAAAAATAAACGCATTTAGGACAAAATCACTAAACTTCAGAATTATCCACAAGATTATTGTCTCTGTTTCTACATTTCTTATACACGAAGCGTCGATAATAACATTTGTCGGTGAAATGAGAGACGAAATGATTGTCGGTGATTTCAAAGTAACCCAGATTCTATGACTGATGATAAGACGAAAGTCAAGAATAACGAAATTACATCGGAGGAAATTGTTCTAGGAAATCAAATTTAAATATCAGCCGAATATTGCCGTTTTGAACGATATCTGCACTGAACATAATAAACTGAATTCAACGAAAAAAAAACATTGATTACTTCAGTATTCTATGCTTAATGTATTATTCAATCGTATCCTGGTAGTAAAGGAGCCCTAACATGATACGTCATGTATGTCAGGGCTCGGAATTAACCAGCAGTTACTGAAGGCACTTATTGAAGAAAAAAAAACAGACAAAGTTTTCGTTGTGTGACTTTTTCCTATGGAATTACCTAAAGCAAAGAGTCTTTCAAACTCCCATTGAAAATATCGAAAACTTACAAAGGAGAATTATACTCCCTCTCTCTCTCTCTCTCTCTCTCTCTCTCTCTCTCTCTCTCTCTCTCTCCCTCTCTCTCTCTCTCCCTCTCTCTCTCTCTCTCTCTCTCTCTCTCTCTCTCTCTCTCTCTTGCATTAGGAGGAAATAACAGAAAAAGTGCTAAAACGTGTCGAAAGAGAATTTTTAAAGAGAATGTAAACGTGTATTCTTAACACTATGCCGTCCGGTGGCACCACGCTGGTGTCATGCAAAAACTAACCGTTGTATGCCGGTGGTACCACTTTGGTACCATTTTAAAAAACTAAAATAACATTTTAACTATATTTCTTGGGTGTTAAAAGGCAGCAAACTAACTATAGCATTGTGCTTATTTAACTAAGAATTAAGTACAAAAATTCTTGGATGACTTATCTTAATTTTAGGAATTTATATTACCGCCATCTTCGAAATTTTTGTTAAAATCTAAAATTTCCAAGCTATTATATCGGCGTCAAAGTGAGAACATGTTTTGTGAGAACATGTTTTTGATAACTTTAATCCTTCGCGAAATATTCCACCGGGTACATCCTGTAGAAACTACCTGACCCAACTTGTACCATGAATTACGAAACACCCTGTACAGTTATAGATACATCGTAAATAAATAATAGGGTTGGTACAAACAAAATTAGGCTTGATACAACAAACATGCGTGAAACCGAACAGAGTAGACGCAACTAACAACAACAATGGATGATTTTTATTTATATTCAACAATTTCCAACAACCACTCTGCAACACAAACATTTCGTCCACACTGAAACGACATAACCTGAAAAACACTTTCTTTCATTTTTTATTCTTAAATTCTTAAAATTATGAAATCACTTTGGTAGACTGGGTTGGCAGGGAAGTAATTTTGGTATTTCAATGTGAAATAAAACTTAATTTTTTTCTATACAAGAAATGAACTTTAATCAGTCAAATATTTTCCATTCTGCTCGATGACCTTTTGTCATCTTTCTGGTAACTTCATGACTTCGCGCTCATAAAGCTTCTGGAACTTATCAGTAAAAAAACTCAATCAAGTGTGATTTGAGGCTACCGTTATTATTGAAGTATTTACCATTTAAAAAGTTTTATAACGTGCGACGTCACTTCCTAACCAAGCTTCAATAATTTTATACGTGTTGCTAAAGATATATGAGGCCTCGCATTGACGTGGTGGAACACGATTCCTTTGCGATTTGCCAAATTGACAGCATCATCTTTTTCTGATGCAATTCAGCTTTCGATATGGTTTGTGCTGGTTCATCACGCTTGGATCACGATCTTTTTCGATTAATGTTATTGTAAACGATCCATTTTTCATCACCAGTGATAATTCGTTTCTAAAAAGGGTCGATTGCATTACGTTTAAAATGCGTATCTCAAATACTGATTTGTTGTGTTAAGCGAATTTCTTTCAATTCGTGTCGAATCCAAACATCGAGCTTCTTAACAAGTCTAAGACATCTTATGCGATAATCAATTGTTGGGTGTTATACATTTAACCTTTTTGCGATCTCTCGTACAGTTATATGACGAGTCGATTCAATTATCCCTTGGATTTTGTCATCAATTTCAGAAGGTCGACCAGAACGTTGGTCATCTTTAAGTGAAAAATCTTCTGAACGAAATTTTTCGAACTAATTCTGACTCGTGCGTTCTGTTAAGCAATCGACGCCATAAACTTCACATATCTCTTTGTGAGCCTCGGCCACTTTCTTGCCTTTATGACAATAAAAAAAGGTAAAATGTGTCGAAAATGTTCATTTTTGCACTCCATGTTAAAATTGAGAGCAAACTATCAGTTGTAAACAAAACTACACAGAATTTGTTTCTATAGTAACCTAAACGTGTCAACTACTAAAGCTGAAGATAACAAAATTATAACCTTAACGAAAGAATGACAATGCAAACACAACGCTATCCTATTGGTGCAAACCGAAATTACTTTCTTGGCAACTAAATAAATAACTGATATCTTAATTCAAATATACGTTATGCTAAGTGACTTGATAGTATAGTATGTCGTTGAATTTGTTTTATCATTTGCAATGATCCTACGAAGCGAAAATATAAGCTGCCACATAAAAATATCAAGGTGATCCAGATTTTTTTTATCGGCAAAAAATAGTTTTGTATATTTCAATATGTAATAACTTTTGTTGGAGACATTTTTTTGTGAGATTGTCCGACAAGTCTCAAAAATCGGGACAGTTTCGTGCCACACGCAGTATAGGTATACTGAAAAATCAAAAAATGATACAGGATGTACCGGATTTTTCCGTATACATGTATTCCGACAGTGTGATCTAGTAGTAAAAATAAGATTAAAATGTTATTGTAACAAAAGGTCCATAAATGCTTTGTTACGAATTTATAACAAAATTGCAAAATATGATTTAAACACTGCTAAACATACTATATCTCCATTTTAATCACATTTTTTAGTTTTGTCATAACTTCTGAATAAAGCAGTTATATATATAACATTGTTACTTATAGAACACACTTCCCATTAACATATGTACGGAAAAATGCAGGACATCCTGTATATTGAATAGCTCCGCCAGAAATGAGCAATAGCAGAAAGTTCAGCCACTATTTATTTTGTACTCAGAATTACCAAAAAAAAGTTTCATTAAGATCGGTGACCACACAGGTGTAACCTCTTCTTCTTAGGATCCACGATACAACCTAACGATTGAAAAATTGAACAATATTCCATTCATTGTAATATGCAGTACATTTTAGTTTACCATATTTGAATTCAGTTTATTTCAAATTTGCATCCTCCGAACATTGTCGACCATCGTGCCAATCTGGTGCAGTTCGTACGCAGTGCGTGTTGTTAACGATACGAACTTTGAACGTGTCGCATTAAAAAATTGGCTCTTTTCAGGGCCATACATATTAACCCAGGAAAGTTCGTCCGCAGATATTATTGATATGTGATTTAGTGATAATGTAGTAAAAGTGACCGTTGGAATAGCCTGCCTGGAAACATCCTTCTGTTTGTCGCCGTCGGATACAGATCAGCTGTGCAGTTCATCATACATTGCTCGAGGTCAATGCACTATCCTCCAGCATACATTTCCGACCATGTAGTGGATTTACAACTAAATGGGTGAGTTTCTTATTGATAATATTCTTCATATTTCTTTATCAAACAAATTTCTTACGTCCTTTAACACGATTATTATTTATTAAATTAGCTTTACGAATCACCCGTTGAATTGTGTTCGGACGCGGAATTATTTAAATTAAAATTTAATAAATTAACATTTACGAACTTTGTTAATCTTCACCTTGCATTAAAAATTTCATATGGCACACATGAGGTGTCATGCATACCAGAAAATTAAAACGGCTGTTATACTTATTATTTCGAGTCCGAAAAATTAGTAAATATTTTTCAGACATTCTGAAATAAGCATGAACAGCATTTTTCTTAAAATTACCACTGCTACGTGGTAACAAAAATATCGAGAGTTCATATCTTTCATGACTTGTTCATTGATTTGAACGCGGCACAGAGTCCCCCTTCAGCTGTCAAAATCAGTGGTAGGAGCACATGGCACTCGATCGATTGACCACGTTGTGTTTCGCGCCATTGTGTCTCATTGATCGGTGTTTTTCATTAATAACTCGTAAATAAAGCCGCAGGTTGCATTTTCGCAAAGGAAAAAGTTACTTGGAATGATCTCAGCTACCCCACATTTCCGTAATGTGAGACATTTTTGGGACTCCCTGTATATACATTCCACAACAATACACTTGTCTTTGTCGCCCAAAATGTGCCTTAATTATACTGCCCGATAAAATCAAACTTTTTTTCTGATTTCCTATAGCCACTACAAAATTCTTGCAGAACTTTTATGATTTGTTTATAGCATGTATGTTTTTTGTTGCAACTCGTATGACCGAATTCACTTTATGGGAATAGACAATCGTGTATAAGACAGGTATAAATATAAATTGTAAATTTTGTAAATTTTGCATTCTAATTTGTCAAATGCATTAATGTATTAAGATAACAAACTATATTTACACGTGCCTTATACACGACTGCCTATTCCTATGAAGTGAATTCGGTCGTACGAGTTGCAACAAAAAACATACATACTATAAACAAATCATAAAATCGTATAAAAGAGAAACATAAAACAACATCGATTATAAATAATGAACGATTTTTAAAATGTCAAACTTCTTGAAACTAAATAAAAATAGTAGTAAAATTAGTAATAAAAATTAATAAAAAATTTAATTTTTATAACTTTTCAAATACTTATGTTGCGTGAAAATTCGATGTTTCTTAATATATTTTTTAATTATGTAGATAACGATTTACATTAAATCGATAGAAGTATTTCTTCCTTCAATGTATATTTATTTAAATATATGGCGTAGAAAGTCAAAGTTGTAATAGTGTTCGATTACTTTCGTTACCCGTTGTATCTTCGCGGCTGTTCCTTCGTAGAGCACTATCTGCAAACAGGTTCCTTTCTGCAGTGGGCAGAACTGTCCGGATTGGAGGTAGATTTTTCCGCTGGAAAGATCGCTGCTTACACGACAATGTACGTCCATGTGGCGAATGGATCGTTGCAGGTTGTTCCTGCACAGCAACCATCGTTGTAAATCTTACTTGCCAAGGTAAGACTTGGATCGCTGTGGGGGATTTACCCTGATAGGATTACCTGTGATGGGGTTCTACAATCTCGTTATAAAGTCGACGAGCACGTTTGCGTCTATTCTTGTCCAGTCCTCAGAAGTCACCTCGAAATGTTCTTCGACGCGTTCGTGGCATCGCCATACTGATCGTGCATAAGCGATGTGTACGTTGCCGTAGTGGCAATGTGTAGCCTTGAAGCGAACTTGATGCGATCCAAGCGAGTGCCAACCTCCTTCTTGGTAGAGGCTCTGGGCCTCTTCGTCCAGCTGGAGGTAAACAGTCTTCGCACAGGCGGTGTCCTGCGGTTACAAATATACACTTCCGGGACATAGCGATAATGCATTATAATCGCACTAGCTTTTGATGCGGATGGTCAATTGGAACTGCTCCATCCATTGGACTATAGAGATCTCCTTCGTTGAGGTTTCCATGAGGAATTGGCATTTTGCACGCTGAAGACTAATTCCTGCGGTCGCGACAAGACGGCACCTTTATATTTACATTCCCCTTCTTACCAGCAGCCTCACGCCCGCAGCTAGCGGTTGCTATTGGCCGAAGACGTGGGCGAAGATCGATGGCGATCAATAGCGACCGATAGCTGTACGAGTGGGGAAGTTAGTAAGAGGGGAGATGGAAACACTAAGGTGCCTTCGTCTCGGGCGAGAAGAACGCTAGAGTTATAAGAAAATGTGACGACCGAGAGCCGTTCATTGCAGTCCCTTCGTTTCATACATTGTTCGAAGTACTCAATCAACATGTGATTCAATCACTCTGTGGTCAGAATGCATTAAAGAACTCGATAAATGTGTCCCTTGGTCTATTAATCCTTAGCACTCGAAGCCATTTTAAGTCTAAATCCAAAATAGTTTTACCCAACCAGCAGTATTCCCATTTTATATGACTTGGCGCATTTTATGCATACAAAATTGAGTCTCGTGACTTATAAAACAGTCTCTTAAATAGAAAGAACTAGATAAAATACAATAATTTTATATAATAATAATATAATAAGAAATATATAATATAATATATATATATATACTATATATATTAATTAATAATTAATTAATAATAAATAATATATTATAATAATATAATAAATAATTATAATTAATCATTATAAAATTATTATATCTTATCTAGTTCTTTAGACTGATATGAGAGAGACTGATGATAAGATATACATATATATAATATAATATATTAATATATAATAAATAATATATATAATATAATAATAATAATTTTGAGTAGTGTCTCAGAGTAGCCATTCGAATGGAAAGGTTTAATAGTGCCTTAGGTGCGCCGGATCGGCAGATAAATTCTTGCGTGAACGCTTTTGCTATCTCGATGACAATTGCAGTTGTATCGTGTATGGAAGGTTACAAATGAAATGACCAAGTGTGTATAGGGTAAACGCACCAAGAACTGATTCATTTAAACTGTACTTACATGTCGTAAAGAGGTACTGCTTGCTTACGTTTGGAAAGAAAACGGGAGACGATTCTCTAAATTATCGCGTATTTATATGTCACTTGCCCTTACGAACAAAAGTTAAGAAACACCTTTTCAAACGCAATAACATTTAAAAAAATGGGAGGAACTAGTTTACTGTAGAACGACTGACAAACTTCTTTTTTAATTTTCCTATTACTTGGATTGACAGAAAAAAGAAGAACTCTTTAAACTTTTTTAACTATTGTATCCGAGTCTATAACAAAAATATAAAAAATTTCTTTCGTAGATCTTGGTAACGTATACACATGCTGAAAATTTTATCGAAATCGGTTGACGTTGTTATGAGTTACAACAAATTAAAGATGGCAAATATCGCAGTTTTGTCACGATTTTGACCAAAAACAGTAAGAAATCTGCTATTTTTTAAATCTTTCAACGCCTGTAACTCGACTCTGGGTTAACCGATTTCGATCAAATTTTCAGCAGGCATATAATCTACTAAGATCTACAAAAGGCATTTTTTTAATTTGCGTTGTAAGTAGAGATGAAAAAGTTAAAAAATGAATTTTTTATTCCTCTGTGTCATCACAAGTAATAACAAAATTAAATTTGAGTCATCGTCTAATAGACTAGTTCCTCTATCACCTAAACGAAAAATTATCGAGAAGTATGCATGTTGTTCAACACATATACAACCACCTGAAGAAATGGGACTGAATAGATGACGTTTTCATTTCGTGATCTGTTATCTAATCTATTTACTATCGGTAACGCACTAAGTTCTGTAAACGTCTTTTCAAACATTTTCCTGTCGCGACATGCATGCGGAACACTGAAATAACTTGATCGTCTACTCATGAAAACACAAGTGAAATTGAAGGTCGCAGGAGGTCCCACTTCAAATTTTCGTGTTCTTATTCAGAATTGTGTAAGCTTTTGTATGAAATAAATTCAAAATCAATCACTTTGAATCGTTTTGGTAAAAACCTTGTTAAAGTTCTAAGTGTTGCAAACCTTAAACCACACACACACACACACACATTTATATGTACCTCATAAGATGTTTATACCACAATGAAATAACTATTGGGTTGGCAACTAAGATTTCAGTTATAGATGCCTCTCACTCCCATTTTTATGATATTCGTAAATGTTATATTATAAAATTATTATTATTATTATTATTATTATTATTATTATGTTATTTTTTATTATCCGTGAATGTTAGCAACTGGACAAATTGAATGCAGCGGTCAAGGAAAAGCGACCAGAATTGGTCAATCGTAAAGGTGTCATTTTCCACCAGGACAATGCTAGGCCGCACACGTCTTTGTCCACTCGGCAAAAATTGATGGATATTGGTTGGGAATTGATGTTACACCCACCATATAGCCCTGATCTCGCGCCATCGGATTGCCACTTATTTCGATCCCTGGACAACTCCCTTCGTGGTAAAACTTTTAATGATGATGACGCTGTAAAATCTCACTTAACTCAGTTTTTGGCCGAAGAGGATCAGTCTTTCTACGAGCGTGGAATTTTCAAGTTGTTAGAGAGATGGCAAAAGGTCCACGTAAAAAAAAATTTTTTATTTCATTGAACAAATCGGCAATTACTTAGTTGCCAACCCAATATAATATAGGTGCTCATATACATGAAAATGTAGCCCAAACTTGGATTTTTATATTTAATTACAAATAATTAAAATAATTGTTTTTGCTATCAATTTAATAAATTTATCCTTGTAACGCTATATTTCATCATACAGTTGTCCGACAAACTGAATACTTTATATGTCAAGGCTTCAAAGGGTTGTTGGTTCAGAGGAAAAACAAATATCTTGGAATATGAATGTCGAAGAATTGACTTTTGGCTAAAAATTACCGACTTCCGGACCAGCGTGTGTCGCGTCATTAGTGTCTATCTCGTATGGTTGTAAGGTTGAAAAGGAATAAAAGAGGGAACGACTGGGCGAAATAAATAAAATAGGTAAAGTTTGAAAATAGAATTTTATTAGCTACGTAGCAAAATACCTATTCACTTAAATATTTGGTTTCACACGATTATCAGGCTAAGTTCGTTTATATTAATATACAATGTGTAAAGTATGCCATATTGTATATGGGCAGTGTCCAATGATAGTACGATAAACTTAATTTTCATATGACATTAACGAGATATAAATATATATATATAATATATATATATTATTTTTTACATGCTAGAAAATAGTACGCTAGGCACTTGTTTGAATAGTTATAGAAAAACAAAAAACTTACAAGGGTATGAGGGTACGCTCGCGGGGAATTCGAAGGCAGGCAGTAAGACGAGAGAAGTGGCGTTTGGCGAGAGATGAGAAAATCGTGGAGAAATGAAGGCAAAGGAAGACAGAAAATTATGAGTAAAAATTATTCCGAACCGGACATTGATAGGGAGTAGAAAGAGAAAGTATTAGAAGATAAGGAAAGCGAGATATATATGCAAGGAGAATTGGAAAAAACGAAGGAAGAAGCTACGCCGTTCTCTTTATTCAGACGTCACCGGCGCGAATTCTTCGGAAAGCAACCGGCGAACGATTGTTCCTTCGTTCCATCGCGAGACTTCGATTTGTTCTTCTTGGTTCGATTTCTTTCATTTTTTCGATGATCTAGTTATCGGCAGTAGTAATTTCTCTCGAGTAAAAAAAAAGAACACAAAATAAAGAGGAAAAATGTGAATAGGAGAAAAAGAGAGCAAGAATAAACGCGCGTACATGGGTCTACGTGTCCTTTATACACACTTGGCAACGACTTATTCGCGATCTGAGGTTTCCTGCCTTCAATGTTTGTTTCTCTGGCCTTTGGAATTGACCTTCGATAGTGGCCATCCAAAAGCTGAACTCGTTCGCATAGTAATGGCAGTGTCCTTTAGCGCCGTTACACTCGATGAAAGGTGTCGCACGGAAGTCCTCTAAACAAGATCCAGTGCTGGACAATGATTGTCCACCGCCTTGAGAACCGGCACCAGTATGCTGGAACATCAATAAGAAGTTTCCGATCACACCGTGCACAGCGGAAGATTTTACAGCTGTATACGGTTAAATTTACATCGATTCGTAGAGAAGGGTAGCGATCGAAAAAGGAAGAGGGACTGAGGACCGAAACGTTCAGTAAACATTAAATCACGATCGAGTCACACTAATGCATGCGAAGCAAAGATGGCAACATTTCTAATTTCATATTATTTTATATAAAGCTTTTATCGTCATATTAGTCCCGCATCGCTGACTATAAAATAACACAAAACACGATATAATTACAATAAGGATTACTTGTGTAACAAACGATTAAAGGTTTGGAGTCGAACTTATTAGACAAGTAATTATAATCATAAAATTAGAGTAGTGGAGCCAATTACTGTGAGGTAGCCACTTGCTGTAGCTTTAGTTTATTTTCAAGAATAATGATCTTCATATTTGTCGAATAGAGCATATTAAATTTTTTTATTTGAATTCAATTAATTATTTATTTGTTAACATTGAAGATGTAAAAGACGGAATTTCTTAAAATACCACAAGAAATTATTTCAATGTTTTGATTCTGAATTCGCGAAATTTTTTGTAAAGCTTATGAAAAACTTATGAAAACTGAATCGTTCTATTGTAAAATATCACAAAAAGTTAATTGTATTGGTAAAATGAATAAAACCGCGGAAAAATAAAGCAGAAATTTATTCGAATTTTTTGTTTTGTTTCAATTTCAATAGTTTATTTACTGTACACAGTAACTGAACCTATTTTTCGCTCGATACGTTAGTAATTGTGTCGCCTACCACAGAATAAGCTTACATAACCTCAAATTTCAAATAATCTCTGTCATATTTTTAAAGAGAAGAAATTTAAATATAAAAATTTTATTAACGCAATGTTACCAAATGTGAACTTTTAAATAATTTATTTTGATATTATATTTCTTTTATAGAATATCAAATTGATTAAAGTACGTTAAATCCCAGTAAGCAATTTGTTCTGAATTTGACATGAATATGACCGTACGATGTTATGTCAGAAGCAAACTTGGCTGACTGAGATATTAAATTTGTATTGTGTACAGATGTTAAGGCTCAGTATCTAGAGAGAGAGGACACAGTAACTGATCTTTATAGATCATTGGCACATAGTAACTCCTAGATCATTGGCTCCAGAACTTTTCTTCTTTGTCCTAATATTCAACAATTTAATATTTGTTTCATGGGAAAATTTACATCGACGAAAGAAATTTTGAAAACCTTTAAGTTCTTAAGAAATTAAATTGCTGAAGTTATTTTTAGTAACAAAATCTCTTGAAGTCTGCCAACAAGCAACAGAAATTGGCACCACTACCATATTGCCTATTTGGTATCAATTTGGTGTCATCCGAACAGATTCCATGCATTCACCAGTACCACTTTCTGACAGTATATTGGACATACCATGACAAAACTGTATCCGATCCAAAGGCCGGTCCATCCATTCGGACAATCTGGAATGTTTAATGACTGGCTGTGTACGGCTAGCACATTCGCAGGAACTTCGCATACTACACATCTGTAAAGAAAAAAAAGAACATTTCGATATAATTATAATACATTTATAATAATATAATACAATACATTACAATAATATAATAATATATAATAATTAATAATAATACAATAATTACAATAATATAATACATTTCGATGTAACAACTTACTCCCATATTATGCTCATCTCAATTATGCTATTGTTAACTATATTCTAAGTTTATTTTAACAATTTTAATAATTTGTACAATCGGGTGGGCCTTAATTTTCAACTTGCGATTTTTTCAATCTTGCCCCTTTAAATTATAATTTTCAAATATTTTAAACCAAGTGCTACTTGGTGACAAAATTATATGTACAAAATTTCAGAGTGATTGTACAGCGGGAACCCGCGCCGCATTAGCGTCAAAGTTTCAAATATTATAGCTATTTTATGTCAATTTTGTATATACTTGTATTTCTTTATATTAAAAATATGGGACTACTTTTGTAAATAAAAATACAATTTCTTAAATGTATATTAAGAGCGTCAGTGTATTGCTTCCTATAATATACTTCACATTTTTTAAATATTTTACCTATCGTTAAGCTTCTTATGTACCGTAGCGCCTGGACCATACCGTTACCTTTGTCGACTGCATGAGGTATGAACGCATTGTTTTAAGAACCTTAGCAGGTACCCTCCCCTTCTTCCCACCGAAAAAGACATTTTACTATTATAAAGGAAATCGTATCCGATCATTTTTATTAACAGCCAGCGTTGCTGGTTTTGTTCTTGCTGAAAGTTCAAGGTGTGTATTTCGTAGACCGGGGTTCAAAAGGAGATCATATCATAGACGACCCAGATTTTGTTGAAGAAGCAAAAAGATCAAGAGGGACCCAACAAGTAGACAATGCTTGCTGTTGCTGAAGCATTAGGACATAATTTAGATGATTTAGTAGTTAATCGGTCTTTAATTCGACGCTACCGCTGCCAATTGCAAACGGAAAAAGAAGACAGAATTACGTGAACCATTCCAAAAAGACTGCTACCAGGATTAACTAGTAAAGAATCTGATCAGAGATTATCAGTTGTGACATAACATCTACAAACATGGGACGGCTTTAAGGAGGCTGCGTGATTTTAGAGCAAATATGCGAGCAAGATTTGTCAGCACTTGAAATACCATTATTCAAAAAGTTTCAAACACCTTGGCCAACAGTTAATAAGTCTAATTATCGACCGTGTGTAGAGGATGCTTAGGTTTGATAAAGTTAATATTGCATTAATATTGGATTAATTTGTGAAATTGATACTGGATTTCTGTTTACATACGATCAATTCTTGGTGGAACATTAACAAAAGGAAATTCCTTCCATATCCCTGGAGCTAAAAATATATTTATTTCGAGAATAACTTTTATCAAGTATTGACGAAATTTTAAAAGTTAAGAATATGTGCTTATTTATAGGTAATATATACACATACAGAGTGTCCCATAATTATCTTAACACCCGAAAGGGGTGATTTCTGAGGTCATTTGAAGTAACTTTTCCCTTAGTGAAAATGCAATTGACGGCTTCGTTTACGAGTTATTAATGAAAAACACTGACCAATGAGAGACGAGATCGCCCAGCGCTAGGCGGCCGAGCCAATCAGAGAAACTGGCCTTCGGCCACCCGTTGGCTCGGCCGCCTTGTGGCAGTTGCGATCGCCTCTCATTGGTCAGTGTTTTTCGTTAATAATTCGTAAACAAAGCCGCGGATTGCATTTTCGCTAAGTAAAAAATTACTTCAAATGACCTCAGGAATCACCCCTTTCGGGTGTTAACATAATTATGGGACACTCTGTATGTATATATTACCTATAAATAAGCATATATTCTTAACTGTTAAAATTTCTTCAATACTTGATAAAAGTTATTCTCGAAATAAATATATTTTTTAACACCCTTTCCGGGTGTTAACATAATTATGGAACACCCTGTATATTAAAGCGTAGTTTAATCAGTTGCTTCAATTGCTCCAAACCAAGATCTGTAACTTTTGCAACAGCTTTACAAGTATAAAGAAGTTGACAAAAGCATAAATGAAATAACAATACATAAATTTAGTGGACATTTATGGTATTCAATTCGAGAATGTGCAACATTAGCTTTTTTTAAATATAGAATTGTCTTCCGATATGAAGAGGCGTATGATTCAAAATTTGAATTTTGAACACACGGAAATTCAAGTAAATGGATTATTTTAAAAGATATAAAAAATTATATTAATATTGGCATAGAAAATTCCATCTTATCACAAAATCACAATTCCTGTTCTAGATTTCACACAAATACTGATTTTTTACAAAAAGACCTTTCCATTTGGGAAGTGAGTAGTAGTCAAGATAATAAACTATTCATTTTACAGGTATCAGAAAATTAATGGCGACGTTATCCAGATATCAGCAAATACAACCTTAATAAAAGCCGTATACTGACCAATATGTAACATTTTATATGTTTCAATTAATTTTATTACAATATATAATTAGAAATTAAGTTTAGATGATATTATGTACATGTACGACGTTATATTTTCATGAAAACATATTTAGTATTGTCTCTAAAATTTATATTGAAATTAACGTAAATAATAAAAATTTCAAAACTTAGACTCCGATGCAGCACGCGTTCCCGTTGTCCAATCGCCCCGAAATTTTGTACACATTATTTTTTCATCATGTAGCACAATTTAGAGGGGTAAGCGAAGAAAAAACTTAAAAACCATTTTTGACCTCTATAGCTAAGGGCCACCCTATTGCCCATGCAATAGAAAAATATTTTCAAATTCTTCTAATATCAATTAGGGTTTTGCTTATGACCTAGTCTTGTTTGTCAAAAATAAATGAAATCCACAGTCCATATCGTACCATTTTTACCAAATCGGTCAAAAGAAATCTTATAAAATATTAATTTAGTATTATTTTCAAAGATTATTTCTTTTTCCTGAATCGCGAAAATGTAGCTATGTGGAAGAAAATGTGAAATCAATGTAAAATTGAAATCATTAAATGATACGACATCGGTACGTTATACAGTAGAATGTTCTTCCGTCGAAAGGAAATGTCGGAAGCTATTCGAAACTTCTTTGTTTCTTTTCTCCCCAAAGGAAACGCTCAACATACCTGGAGATATATTCTTCTATTGCTGTTTCCTCTAAAGGCGACATGGGAATTGGACTATTGGTCGACAGCCAGTAAGAACGATCGTTCCGGCTGGCGTAGTGGCAGACGTTGTTGACATCGCAGAATAGGAAGGGCATTGTTGAGAACTTTCTTACACAGGATCCGGCGGAACCTGTTTTTTTTGTGATAATTTATTACGCAAGTTCTTATTACTAACGGAAACGGATTCTCGTACTTACAGTAACGAGCAAAAGTGTATACACATGCACACACTGCATGTCTCATGAAAACGAGGATCATGCTAATTAATCGTGATCGTATGCAAGATGAATATAATCGACACTATGCAGCAGTTAATTATATTTATAGCCTCTGAAATATTTTTCAAGGATAGCTACATAACACAATGTTTAGTGGTAAGTAAGTAGAACACGTTTGTACAAATATTTCTCAATTTATACAGTGACTCTGATTTATATTCGGATACTTTTTAAAACGGAATAACTTTTTAAGAATTGAACTAAACGATTTGAATTTTTCTCAGTTGACAGAGGGAACAGTCTATGGTCTAGTAGACCATAACTTCTTTTTTTAAATTTTGCTATTGCTTAGAATGACAAAAGGAACCAAAAAGCTCTCGTTTTTTTAACTTTTTTTATCTTAGCCTATAACTTTTCCTCTATCATCTAAACAAAAATTCAAGTCGTTTAGTTCAGTTATGAAAAAGTTATTGCGTTTTAAGAGTTGTCCGAATATTAATTGGAATCATTATAAGTTGATTTAGTCGAGTAACGATATAAAACCGCTTAGCAAAGAGAGGAGAAGTGATTCAATATTATTTCATTGTATAATAAAGGTTTTTCGCTGCGACAAATTGAAATGAAATGCGACGGAAACCATGGTTGAAAATTGATCATTCGCCTATCTTTAAATAGAATTGTTTTAAAATCGTAAGAAAAATATGTAAAAGAGTTCTTTCGTATAAAAATATTAAATAAATTGCGGATATAAAGCCAATGACGATGACGGTCTGCGGAGGATCTATGATATGCTGGAGTTGTTTTACATATAAGGGTGTTGGTCCGTTAGTTAGGATCGAAGGCATCATGCGGAAGGAATATTATTTAAACGTTTTACGATCCAATTTACTGTGAGTTATTAGCTCTATTGGATATAATGTAGAAGAAATGTGATGAAGTGACCATCACAAAACTCGAATATGAACCCAATAGAGAACTTGTGGTCTATCGTGTAAAGATCTATTAGATAGAGCGGAGTAGCAATGGTATTACATCGAACCAGAAATACTACAAAATTTAATTGTCAGTATGCCACGCAGACTAGAGGCATTAAAAAATGAACCGTTTATTTTGAAAGTGGCATAAGTCACTTTTTTTTTTCTTTAAATGAAAAGATATCGTTCAATTGTAATTAGTGTTACCATTAACTCGATTTTTTTTGAAAAAGTGACTTATGTCACTTTCAAAATAAACGGCTCAAATAGTGAGGGAAAATGTACATAATATGAATTTAAAACTACAGTTTGATAACAATGTTAAAGTGCGCAATTCTAAATGTTACTTTAAAGTCTTATTTTAGCCAAATATTCCTGAGATCATTTGAAGCAACCTTTTTCTTAACGCAAATGCAGTCCACAGTTTCATTTACGAGCTATTAACGAAAAACACTGACCATTGAGAGGCGAGATCAACTGACGCGAGGCGATCGAGCCAATGAGCTGAACTGGGTTTCGTCCGCTCGTTGGCTCGGCCCCTCGCGCCAGTCGAGCTCGTCTCTCATTGGTCAGCGTTTTTCGTTAATAACTCGAAAATAAAGCTGCGGATTGCATTTGCGCTAAGGAAAAAGTTACTTCAAATAACCTCAGGAACCTCTCATTTCCCGGTTTTGAGTAACTTATCGGACACCCTGTATTGTAAACATAAATGAGAATAAACTATTACGTCATGTAAGAATTGATAGTATGATCTTCATTTTTTTTTTCATGAATATGGTGCGTGTATGCACTTTTGCCCGCCACTGTATAAAATTCGAGATTTCATTTTTCAACGTCACCATAATTGCTCGTCTGCGGATCTTTATGCACATTCTAATATTCATACGTCATTTTACAAAAATTCGAGTTGAAGAAAAGTTTCCTTTTTTAACTAAAAGATGTATATTATGAAAATAAATTAAAACGGCTATTAGTCCTTGTTAACTTATATGTTTTCTTGCATTTGAAAAATTTATGCATGCCACAAACGCATAAAGATTCGCAATCTAATAAATGCTATATTACAGTTACTGATCTTAGTAAATTTCTTTTAAAAAAACTTGCCTAAATCTTGCGAATGAGCTCTTTCATCGCCATCTGTATACAATAAACTGTATCCTTCCCAGAGTTTGATATGTCCGCGCTCACAAACAGGTACCGACTGGCTTTGACTGTGTTTGACCAACAGGAAACCAGTCAGGTAATCAGGTGATGCTTCGCATGGTAGTCCGGGCTCTCCTGGAGCACCCAGAGCTCCCGGAGGACCTTGCAAACCTGGTGCTCCTGGTACGCCAATACGTCCAGGCAAACCAGGGAGACCGGGTGGTCCTGCAGATCCTGCGATCCCTTCCATACCTTTCAGTCCGTCCAATCCCGGGAATCCTGCTGGTCCCGGCAAACCTTTCTCCCCTGGTTGTCCTATTTGACCTGGAGGTCCTGTAAAACACGATAACGTTTAAACAAAAAATTTTTGCCGAACTTCAACATTTTTCTTCACTTTTCAACAATTCAAAGAGTCTAGCAGGATGAGCATGATAAATCGGCAACCACGCTATCTCCCATTTGTTTTGCGTGTTACATAATTTTTGTTGCTTACAATACAATTCTGTAAATTTTCAATTCTCTACTCCTTCGTTTAAGGGCAATATGGGGTTGAAAAACCTAAACGTTACCTTTCTATTTTTTTCAGTTATTAGAGTGCGGATTTTTACGCAAAAATAAAAATTAATTAAGAGATAAATCTGTTTATTCTCTTAATAAATTCAGTAAGTTAATTATAATATAACTGTTGTTTGAAAGTCATTAAGTATTTTCGTTCTTTCACATTTGATTTATCAATTTTTGCTCTAAACGCATACAATCCGCAATCTAGTTATTACTTAAGATATTTATATGAAATAAAAGTGGAAAAATGAACAGAAAATTACCGTCATTCGGTGTACGTTTAAAATTTTTATATAATTTGTTAAAGGTTAAAAAATATAATTTATTTTTCAAGGATGATATTGGCAAACAACCCTTTGAGAGACTTGCACTTAAAATGTTAGAAATAATGTTCTGAAATTTATTATTCTTCATGCTCATTCTGCTAGACCTGCTAGACTGCTTTATTTTTATTGACATATTCCATGTAAATATGTGTCGTAAAGTCATTTCAAGAATGACTAAAGCAATTACAAAAAATTAAAAGAACGTTACAAAATCTGACTAGTTTACTGGACAATCAGTAAACAAATTTTCTCTTGTATTAAAATGTTTAGAAAAAGTAATATTTTCTCAATTTTGTTACCTGGGCATATAACGAAAATTTAAACAATAGGTTTTGTAGATATCATTAACTTGCACGTAAGCTGAAAATTCCATCGAAATTAGTTCAAGAAATTTCGAAAGTGAAGAACCCGATTTTTGCTACTTTTTTTAAAGACATCATGAATCAGTTTTCTAAATTTTCAAGATAATTGACCTCAACGAATATATATATATATATATATATAAATCTTTACATTAGGCTACTTCAATTGAGCGAATTATGTGAATAAATTGTTTTGTGAAAAACGTGTCTAAAGAATTTAGCGAGGACAATGTCTACAACTATATGTATTTCAAGGCCATTGAAATCTGTGAAAGGTCTGTTTTCAAAATAATTAGACAAATTTTGATCCGGGATTATGTTTGTCGTGATTTCGAAAGAAAGCTGAAGGTCAAGCGAGAGTTATGGTATTACAGGTTATTGAATGTATCTTGCACTCAAGAACTCAAGACATCAATGACCATACAATCTCAGAAAACATAATCTTGAGAAAAATTCTTTGTTTATTATATTGTTTGACTTCTGTAAACAGGCAATGGTAACGTTTAAATATCTTTTTTATCATAAAGAAGAAGTGAGGAATTCAAAATGACTATAACTAACTAACATAGGAATAATACAATAGAATGTGGACATAAATTTCGGTATATGTTACTTATTTTTAATGAATGATATTTTGACCGTGAGGAATATAACGATATTTTCATTGTACATTGTTTAAAGTATGGAACATAAAAGCGCGAATTCACAAAAGATAAGAACTGGGAATTATGGTAGTCGCTTTCTAATAAGATGAATTGTGAAATTGCAAACAATTTTTCTAAAATTTTCCAAAAAATACAATTATACGTACCAGGATGTCCACGGTCACCTTTTGGTCCCATCGGTGGTTCAATACAATCATCACCTTTGTCGCCCTTGACACCAGTAAAACCAGGAACACCCACCATTCCAGTCTGACCAGCGTAACCTCTATCACCCTTCGGTCCAGGAGCTCCAGGAGAACCATTTACACCGTCCCAACCTCTTTCACCTTTTTCTCCGGGTAATCCGTCCAATCCACTTGGCCCTACAAATTAATTGAAAATTAGCTTTCACAAATCGATCAATGCATTTGCTTTATTTATTTGCTTTAGTAATCTTGTATAAGCGTGAGATTTACAAATTAATATTCCGTCATCTACAAAATGTCTAGGAAATCTATGCCATAATTGGAAAATTTTATCTCTATTAAAAGTACTTAATTAATCTTTAAAAATATTTATGAATACTCCTTTCTATATTCCTAAACTATTGTAAATATTACATATTTTTCTAGGGCTACCTAAAAGTAGTTTCCTTTTAGATTGATTAAACATTGTTATATTGTTCGAGTACGTGATTTACTACCACATAACTTATGTTCCAACTAAAAATTGACATTTAGTCGGTTTATTACGGATGTTTGGAACAAATTCGGTGTATCGTTATAAATTGAAAGCCCTAGTTGCGGATACGGTCTACGTTTTAGATATGGTGGTTTGCGAGCTTCGAAAGTACAATAATGACATTAATGCAATGAGTGTCATTAGTGCTTTGGATATTAGAAAGTGATGTTGTTAATTTAAAAAATTTCAGAAGGATGGCTTGCAATCGAATCAAAATTTGAGAGAAAAAAAAATCTTGTGCTGGCAGAAATTCACTTCTTCAATCGTCATTGTACGTGAAAAGGGCATAAGACACATAAGAAAAAACGATGTTCAACGTCAGGAAATCTATCTCTTATAGGTACTTTTAATAAATAAGATATGGTTTCTAATGACTCTGATATTAATGTGGTCTAAAATAAAGTAAAAAGTTGGAAAAAGTATATAAAGCGTTATTCAATGTTAAACACTACTATCTCATTAAGAAAATGTGTATTACTTGCTGTTATATGCAATAGGGTTTTTCGATTTTATGGATTCATAATAAGAAAAGTGTTCTTTGAAATATCTCTGTGACTTGTCAAATCAGGTTAATCTAACTTGGTTAATCAGAATAATAACATATTTAATTCTCTATCCAATATGGTCCTCCAGATTTCAACATTAATTTAAAAATTACATTGACTTTTTAACAGTTAAAACAAAATCTGTTTTTAATAATAAAATGAAATCAATTTTTCAATAATTACCTCGGGGCCCTGGTTCTCCCTTCTGTCCGGGTAGACCACTTAATCCTGGTAATCCATTATCTCCTTTTTTACCTTCAAAACCTGGCGGGCCCATTATTCCTTCGGGACCTGGTAAACCGTCTTTACCTGGTGAACCAGGTATCCCGTCAGGACCCGTGTCACCCTTTTCACCAATCGGGCCAGGAGGCCCGTAGGGGCCCTGATTTCCTTTATGACCTGGTAGACCAGGCAAGCCCTGCTCTCCCTTTTGTCCAGGTATCCCGGGTATTCCTTCTCGTCCATGCTTTCCAGGTAGTCCTGGTAAACCTTTCTCACCCTTAATAGTTACTCCAGGGAGACCTGATGGTCCAACCAGTCCCTCATCCCCTAAAATAATTCATCAAATACGTATAAATAACGTAATTGTTATTCGATAAGTTTGGTTATGTTAACAACATTGCGTATAGTAAAACACTAAAGCATCTATACCTTTTACACCCATAGCTCCTGGTATTCCAGGATTTCCGATTGGACCTGGTGGGCCTCTGTCTCCTTTCTCACCGTCATATCCAGCCAAACCTTCCAATCCTTGATCACCCTTCTCTCCGTGGAAACCTTGTCGACCAGGAATACCGGGTTCACCTTTTTCACCTTTAACTTGAATTGTTGGCCCAGGTGGTCCACGATCACCTTTCTCTCCGATAATACCAGGCGATCCAGGGAATCCAGTAGGACCTTAATGTGGAAACGTTTTGTCAGGGAACTAATTTTTGGTGTCATCGGTGTAGTGATATTGTTCAATTTCCTATTATTACCTGAAAGACCGCGATCTCCTTTTACGCCGTTGAGACCCGGTTGACCGGGAGCTCCCATTTTTCCGTCTAATCCTGGGAAACCACGGGGACCAGGCAAACCGATATCACCTGGTTCACCGGGTAATCCATCGATGCCGGGCGTTCCTGGTTCACCTGGCGGGCCATACGGTCCCTGTTATAGAGAGTAAAGTCAAGTGAAAAAGTGTATTTCCGAAAACGTATAACTTTAATTCATCGAACATACTTGATCTCCTTTCACGCCGGGATATCCTCTAACACCGGTGTCTCCTTTCTCACCCGTCAGTCCAGGTAAACCATCACGACCTGGTATGCCGGCATCACCTTTCGGACCAGGCGCACCATCACGTCCAAGACCAGGTATTCCAGCTTCTCCCTTGATACCATCTATACCATCCCTTCCTGGAGCTCCTGGAGGTCCACGAATTCCTGGCATTCCCGGTTCACCTTTTTGTCCTTTTTCTGACACCAGGCCAGGTTCTCCTTTACGGCCCTAGTAAAGACAAATTCACTATCCAATCATCTAATAAATAACGAATGTGCAGAATACAACAAAGCCTTGGCACATAAAAATATGCTCGTTTGAAGTAAGTAATAATAACACGAAATACGTACTGGGAATCCCACTGGACCTAGATCACCTTTAGGTCCGTCGAATCCAACGGGGCCTGGCGCACCAGGATTCCCGGTAGGACCTGCATCTCCTTTGTTTCCAGGTTGTCCCGTGCGACCTGGTTTTCCATCTAAGCCACGCAATCCAGGGAATCCTGGTGAACCTTTCTCTCCACGCTCACCCTTCATGCCGATTAAACCTGCTATTCCAGCTCGACCAGGCGAACCAGGTAGACCCCGTCGTCCAGGATATCCCTTCTGCCCGTCAATACCTGGTTCACCTCTGTCCCCTTTCGTGCCTGGAAAACCTGGTAGACCTGGTCTACCCGGTTCTCCTGTCAATCCTGGTTCACCTGTGGACAAGAAATTTTATATGAGTTTCTTGATTAACATACAAGTATAATCTTTTGTTTAATTACAGGAATAGATGCATGTACCTTTATTGCCATCAATGCCAGGAGTTCCTGCTACACCAGGAGGACCTGGAGGACCAATTGGACCTGTGTCTCCTTTTTCTCCTGGCGCACCAGGTAAACCACTTATTCCCGGAATTCCAAGGTCACCCTTTTCTCCAGCAAATCCTGGTAAACCTGGGAAACCAACAGGACCATCTTTTCCTGGTGGACCTGGAAGACCCTTCTCTCCTTTTTCGCCAGATGGTCCGGTCAAACCGCGAGCGCCTTTCATTGATATTCCAGATTCACCCTTCTCTCCTTTCGGAGCTGGAGCACCTGGGAATCCTCTTGGTCCTTCGCGACCAGGTTCACCAGGAAAGCCCATCGGTCCTATGTTACCCTTTTCTCCACGAGGACCAGGCAATCCTCGTGCTCCAACTGGCCCGGGCCCACCAATTGCACCTGGCGGTCCAGCAGGCCCCTAATTTCATTAAAATTTATAATTACTCTTTACGTTATGTTTAGTAGAACTTACTTCACAAAACACAGAAGTCAATGCTTAGAAGATAGGTAGTTTCGTAGCGCCGCATAACAATAAATTATCTACTAACCGCAAAACCTTGTAAGCCTTTATCACCCTTGAATCCTTCTCTCCCAGGTAATCCAGGTGCTCCTTTTTCTCCTGGAAATCCTCTGTTACCTTTTAAACCCTCCGTAATGTTTAACGGTGGACATTCACCTATTGAAAACAAAAATTACGATATATTTTTTGGTACATAGCGAAAGTGTTGCGAAAAATAAATGAATTACTACCTACCGGGTTCGCCTCTGTCTCCGTCAAAACCAGGTTCACCTTTGTCACCACGCTGACCAGGCCAACCAGGTTCTCCGGGTTCTCCTTTTATACTCAGACCACTTTCTCCTTTACGACCTGGAACACCTGGCCTGCCAGGGACACCTTCTTGTCCAGGAAAACCGCGATCACCCTGAAAGTAATCGAAACAGAGTTATGCACCTAGGATCTGTAAAGTGGTCGCTAAGATGAAATTGTCATCACTTACAGCGGCACCCTTAAGTCCCGGGAATCCTTCCAATCCAATTGCACCTTTCTCTCCGATCGGACCTTGTGGACCCTGCGGTCCCATTCGGCCTGGTTCACCCCGTACGCCTTTATCACCCTTTTCTAACTTTATCATGTCCCACGATATTGTTGCTGGTGTGCCAGATTCTCCTTGAGGTCCTGGTGCGCCGGGAATACCGTCATTTCCCTAATAAAACAGGAACCAAGTTTAAATTGTGCTAATCTGTTGACGGCTAAACTGATTTTATATTGATGACCGCAAATTTCAACGATGTGTTGCATTTTTCTACTTTGTTGGCGTTCTTGCATAACTATACAAACTCTTGTTTTTTTTGTTTTCACCAAGAGTGGGTAATGACATAGTTGCCTGAAAAGTACATTTAAAAATTTGTTGTCAAATATTGACCTGGCGAGAGGTAAGTTGACGCAATAAAACTTTTATTTTAGGGATAAAATATTAACGTCTTTTAATTATTTTTTAAAATTTTATTAATAGACTAATGATTTGTACCTCTTATTTGTAGTAGTCCGAAAACTAGAGTGCTATAAGTATCCGACAGGGTACACATTTACAAAAGAAGAATAGAAGGAAAAAGTTTGCAATGAGTTTGGAATATTTAAAGAAGATGTTAGGAAGATATACGAAAATTACAAAAGACATGTAAACCTGAAAATTCAGTGAGATCGGGTAGAAAAAGGAAAACGACTGGTTGTGAAGATCGGTTAATCACTAAAGAAATAAAAAAAAATCCGTTCATTACTGCACAATAAATCGAAGGAAATCTTTGTCGATCATGCAAATCAAATCTCACATTCATGAAAGCGATATTTATGGACGGATATCGAGAAAAAGACCATACATTCCAAAAGTGAATGCACTAAAATGTCTAAATTTTATTAAAGGACATTACAATAACCTGATTTCTTTTTAAAAAACCGACAATTTGGAGCGATGAATCGAAATTCGAATTGAATTCAAATAAAAGGAAAAAATATGTATGGAGAAGAAAAGGCGACGCTTTCAAACAGACATTAGTAATACCCACTTGACAACACGATGGTGGGAATACATATAATGATATTGGTTTGTTTTAATGACACCCAAGTAGGTAATTTAGTTAATTATTGATGGAAGACTGACACTGCTGTGTTAAATATATTGAATTATTAAATGAAAATTTATTTTAGTCAATTGAAAAATTTAGAGTCGACAGGTCCTGCGTGTTTCAACATGATAATGATTCGAAACACACAGCAAAAATAGTTAAAAGATTTTCTTATGAAATCTTATAGACCATCTATGGAATGCACTAAAGCGAAATCAATGATATACAAAATCGGACTTTATTACAGCCATAAAAAGCAAATGGAATGAAATTATGGCAATTATTTTTGAAGAATTAACGAACAGTATGTTCCGTCGCTTACTAGAGGATATTAAAAAGCTCCAAAGGTTATCAAACCTCTTATTAATTCTTGTGAAATTTATTATTTTTTATGTTGTATCTCATAGAAATATTCATCGTTAACTTCACTTCCATTATGAAAATTATTAATTCATTTGAAATTTATTATTTTTTATGTTGTATCTCATAGAAATATTCACCCTATTATGGTGAAATATAAAAATTCATTATTTTTTACTTTTGTTATGTTTATTCATTATGCATCGTCTCTATTATTGTCCTGACGATGAAATAAATGTTTTTGTTTCTCAGCTTAAATTTCCTCAAAAGCGCAAGCGCCAATTTAAATAACGACGCGATTATATTTCAGTAATACAATAAATCATTCTTGTAAACATGCAATGACGTAGTAATGTATATTTACGTTACATATTTCAGTAAAATTTCTATTCAATGATGTTCAATTGTGATCAGCATTCTAAAAGGTTAGTATCGCGAGCACTGACTTTCTAAGTTAGTGTGTTGAAAATGTAGACCACCATACCGGTTGTCCTGGTGGACCAATGGATCCTGGTAATCCATCGGCACCAGGTTCTCCAGGAAAACCTCGTTCTCCAGGTGGTCCTCGAGGCCCAGTAATTCCAGGGCTACCGTCTAAACCGCGATCTCCTTTAGGTCCTCGCAAGCCAGGCAGACAATCTATACAGCGCCCTCCTAGTTCTCCTTTTTCACCAGTAGATCCTGGAGCACCCGGAATACCATCTCTTCCAGAATTTCCTGGTTCTCCCGGTAAACCAGATTCACCCGGCAATCCTGGAATTCCATCTAAGGAATCTCCTGGGAATCCTCTTGGTCCAACGTAACCACGTTCGCCTTTCTGTCCTTTTTCTCCATTTAAACCAGGTGCGCCGTCCATTCCTTTCGGACCCTTCATGAAGAATAGACAATAGTAAGATTCGATATTAGAAGCCTGTGTAACTTAACAAAAATATATTTTATTAGTTTATCAAATTTTATACGTACCGCTATCGATAATCCTTTTTCTCCGGGTAAACCTCGTGATCCTGGAGGACCTTGTGGACCATCAAAACCCCGAAGTCCCGTTGGTCCTGGAAATCCTGTGATACCGGGTTCCCCTTTCGCTCCCTTATCTCCTGGCAAACCTTCAGGACCAGGAATGCCTTGTGAACCGGGGCCTCCTGCTGAACCCACTGGCCCTCTCGGTCCTGGATCTCCTGGATATCCATCAGTACCTCGTGGCCCAGTTGGACCTGGGAACCCTTGGGGCCCTTTCGGCCCTGGCGGACCTGGTGTGCCTTTCCCGCCCTAATAATTAAAGAGAATTAAACTCACTTTATTATTTAAAAGTTGGAAGAATAACATTAAGGAATCAACTATTCAGATCGTGGAATTAAAATTCGTTCCGAACTAATAAAATAACGTGAAACAGTCCTCAGAAAATATATTTTTAAACAAATTTCAATGGACACGAGACTTATCAAAAGGTTGTAGCAGGAGCGTGTTAAAGACATTTGTAAATAATACTTACTCCTGGTGGGCCAGGAGGTCCTCGCAATCCTGGAACACCCATGGAGCCTTCACGTCCTGACTCTCCTTTCTTACCGGGATGTCCGGGCAATCCATCTAAACCATCGTAACCTCGATCACCTTTGCGACCAGGTGGACCTGGAGGCCCAGAGAAACCATCTCTGCCCTAGTTAGAACAACAGTTCATTGTTATGTACATTATATGGCATTTCCAAATGATTTGTAAGTGTAATCAATTTTGTTAAACTTACTCGTATACCCGGGGCACCTGGCAAACCTTTCTCTCCTTTTCCACCAGAACTGCCAGTTATACCATGATCGCCACGTAAACCTGGTTCACCTTTTACTCCATCATATCCCATGTCGCCCTGTATTGTAGAATAAGTAAATGAATTCCATCATGGAAAAACATACTATGCTACATTCGATTGTTTAAATACCTTATCTCCTTTTTCTCCAGGCTCACCCGGAGGTCCTGTGATTTCTGTCACCCCCACGAAAGGTAATTCGGGAGCAGGTGTACCTTGAGGTCCTTGTTCACCCTTCTGACCTTTATCACCTTTCGCACCCTCGAATCGTAATCCCATGTTTCCTTTCTCTCCCTTAGGACCTAGTGGTCCAGATTGTCCCTATATAACAATACAATTAAACAATATTTCTATTTCTATAAATATATATATATATATATATATATACAGGGTGTCTCACAATTATTTTAACAGCCGAAAATGAGGGGCTGTCTCTTATACACATCTAGCTGTGTATAAGAGACAGAAATATCACTGTCACGTAGTAAAAAAAAATCCGGAATGTCCTCGCTTCGTGATTTGTTCAATACTTCGAACGCTGTCTCTTATACACATCTAGCTGTGTATAAGAGACAGAAATATCACTGTCACGTAGTAAAAAAAAATCCGGAATGTCCTCGCTTCGTGATTTGTTCAATACTTCGAACGCTGTCTCTTATACACATCTAGCTGTGTATAAGAGACAGAAATATCACTGTCACGTAGTAAAAAAAAATCCGGAATGTCCTCGCTTCGTGATTTGTTCAATACTTCGAACGCTGTCTCTTATACACATCTAGCTGTGTATAAGAGACAGAAATATCACTGTCACGTAGTAAAAAAAAATCCGGAATGTCCTCGCTTCGTGATTTGTTCAATACTTCGAACGCTGTCTCTTATACACATCTAGCTGTGTATAAGAGACAGAAATATCACTGTCACGTAGTAAAAAAAAATCCGGAATGTCCTCGCTTCGTGATTTGTTCAATACTTCGAACGCTGTCTCTTATACACATCTAGCTGTGTATAAGAGACAGAAATATCACTGTCACGTAGTAAAAAAAAATCCGGAATGTCCTCGCTTCGTGATTTGTTCAATACTTCGAACGCTGTCTCTTATACACATCTAGCTGTGTATAAGAGACAGAAATATCACTGTCACGTAGTAAAAAAAAATCCGGAATGTCCTCGCTTCGTGATTTGTTCAATACTTCGAACGCTGTCTCTTATACACATCTAGCTGTGTATAAGAGACAGAAATATCACTGTCACGTAGTAAAAAAAAATCCGGAATGTCCTCGCTTCGTGATTTGTTCAATACTTCGAACGCTGTCTCTTATACACATCTAGCTGTGTATAAGAGACAGAAATATCACTGTCACGTAGTAAAAAAAAATCCGGAATGTCCTCGCTTCGTGATTTGTTCAATACTTCGAACGCTGTCTCTTATACACATCTAGCTGTGTATAAGAGACAGAAATATCACTGTCACGTAGTAAAAAAAAATCCGGAATGTCCTCGCTTCGTGATTTGTTCAATACTTCGAACGCTGTCTCTTATACACATCTAGCTGTGTATAAGAGACAGAAATATCACTGTCACGTAGTAAAAAAAAATCCGGAATGTCCTCGCTTCGTGATTTGTTCAATACTTCGAACGCTGTCTCTTATACACATCTAGCTGTGTATAAGAGACAGAAATATCACTGTCACGTAGTAAAAAAAAATCCGGAATGTCCTCGCTTCGTGATTTGTTCAATACTTCGAACGCTGTCTCTTATACACATCTAGCTGTGTATAAGAGACAGAAATATCACTGTCACGTAGTAAAAAAAAATCCGGAATGTCCTCGCTTCGTGATTTGTTCAATACTTCGAACGCTGTCTCTTATACACATCTAGCTGTGTATAAGAGACAGAAATATCACTGTCACGTAGTAAAAAAAAATCCGGAATGTCCTCGCTTCGTGATTTGTTCAATACTTCGAACGCTGTCTCTTATACACATCTAGCTGTGTATAAGAGACAGAAATATCACTGTCACGTAGTAAAAAAAAATCCGGAATGTCCTCGCTTCGTGATTTGTTCAATACTTCGAACGCTGTCTCTTATACACATCTAGCTGTGTATAAGAGACAGAAATATCACTGTCACGTAGTAAAAAAAAATCCGGAATGTCCTCGCTTCGTGATTTGTTCAATACTTCGAACGCTGTCTCTTATACACATCTAGCTGTGTATAAGAGACAGAAATATCACTGTCACGTAGTAAAAAAAAATCCGGAATGTCCTCGCTTCGTGATTTGTTCAATACTTCGAACGCTGTCTCTTATACACATCTAGCTGTGTATAAGAGACAGAAATATCACTGTCACGTAGTAAAAAAAAATCCGGAATGTCCTCGCTTCGTGATTTGTTCAATACTTCGAACGCTGTCTCTTATACACATCTAGCTGTGTATAAGAGACAGAAATATCACTGTCACGTAGTAAAAAAAAATCCGGAATGTCCTCGCTTCGTGATTTGTTCAATACTTCGAACGCTGTCTCTTATACACATCTAGCTGTGTATAAGAGACAGAAATATCACTGTCACGTAGTAAAAAAAAATCCGGAATGTCCTCGCTTCGTGATTTGTTCAATACTTCGAACGCTGTCTCTTATACACATCTAGCTGTGTATAAGAGACAGAAATATCACTGTCACGTAGTAAAAAAAAATCCGGAATGTCCTCGCTTCGTGATTTGTTCAATACTTCGAACGCTGTCTCTTATACACATCTAGCTGTGTATAAGAGACAGAAATATCACTGTCACGTAGTAAAAAAAAATCCGGAATGTCCTCGCTTCGTGATTTGTTCAATACTTCGAACGCTGTCTCTTATACACATCTAGCTGTGTATAAGAGACAGAAATATCACTGTCACGTAGTAAAAAAAAATCCGGAATGTCCTCGCTTCGTGATTTGTTCAATACTTCGAACGCTGTCTCTTATACACATCTAGCTGTGTATAAGAGACAGAAATATCACTGTCACGTAGTAAAAAAAAATCCGGAATGTCCTCGCTTCGTGATTTGTTCAATACTTCGAACGCTGTCTCTTATACACATCTAGCTGTGTATAAGAGACAGAAATATCACTGTCACGTAGTAAAAAAAAATCCGGAATGTCCTCGCTTCGTGATTTGTTCAATACTTCGAACGCTGTCTCTTATACACATCTAGCTGTGTATAAGAGACAGAAATATCACTGTCACGTAGTAAAAAAAAATCCGGAATGTCCTCGCTTCGTGATTTGTTCAATACTTCGAACGCTGTCTCTTATACACATCTAGCTGTGTATAAGAGACAGAAATATCACTGTCACGTAGTAAAAAAAAATCCGGAATGTCCTCGCTTCGTGATTTGTTCAATACTTCGAACGCTGTCTCTTATACACATCTAGCTGTGTATAAGAGACAGAAATATCACTGTCACGTAGTAAAAAAAAATCCGGAATGTCCTCGCTTCGTGATTTGTTCAATACTTCGAACGCTGTCTCTTATACACATCTAGCTGTGTATAAGAGACAGAAATATCACTGTCACGTAGTAAAAAAAAATCCGGAATGTCCTCGCTTCGTGATTTGTTCAATACTTCGAACGCTGTCTCTTATACACATCTAGCTGTGTATAAGAGACAGAAATATCACTGTCACGTAGTAAAAAAAAATCCGGAATGTCCTCGCTTCGTGATTTGTTCAATACTTCGAACGCTGTCTCTTATACACATCTAGCTGTGTATAAGAGACAGAAATATCACTGTCACGTAGTAAAAAAAAATCCGGAATGTCCTCGCTTCGTGATTTGTTCAATACTTCGAACGCTGTCTCTTATACACATCTAGCTGTGTATAAGAGACAGAAATATCACTGTCACGTAGTAAAAAAAAATCCGGAATGTCCTCGCTTCGTGATTTGTTCAATACTTCGAACGCTGTCTCTTATACACATCTAGCTGTGTATAAGAGACAGAAATATCACTGTCACGTAGTAAAAAAAAATCCGGAATGTCCTCGCTTCGTGATTTGTTCAATACTTCGAACGCTGTCTCTTATACACATCTAGCTGTGTATAAGAGACAGAAATATCACTGTCACGTAGTAAAAAAAAATCCGGAATGTCCTCGCTTCGTGATTTGTTCAATACTTCGAACGCTGTCTCTTATACACATCTAGCTGTGTATAAGAGACAGAAATATCACTGTCACGTAGTAAAAAAAAATCCGGAATGTCCTCGCTTCGTGATTTGTTCAATACTTCGAACGCTGTCTCTTATACACATCTAGCTGTGTATAAGAGACAGAAATATCACTGTCACGTAGTAAAAAAAAATCCGGAATGTCCTCGCTTCGTGATTTGTTCAATACTTCGAACGCTGTCTCTTATACACATCTAGCTGTGTATAAGAGACAGAAATATCACTGTCACGTAGTAAAAAAAAATCCGGAATGTCCTCGCTTCGTGATTTGTTCAATACTTCGAACGCTGTCTCTTATACACATCTAGCTGTGTATAAGAGACAGCCCCTCATTTTCGGCTGTTAAAATAATTGTGAGACACCCTGTATATAAGTCTAACTTGATTATGAGAAACGTAAACCGGACAAAAATGTCTTCCCTCTTTCAATAATTTTAATAAGTTGTACGTAATTTAAAATTATTCTCAAATCCTTCTCATGTCTTTAGACTATTTTTAATTTGGTTATTTTTGCCGAAACTGCACGAAATCCGCAGTCTACTTATTATCAGTCTTCTTACTACTGCATTTATAACAAAAGCGAATGGATCAAATGTAGAACAATAAAAACTTTTGAAGAATCCAATGGTGTTATTGCATTACTTGCAAATTAATAAAATGATTAAGAAAATAAATAAATTCGTACGTATATCTTGTATTTTTTAATTAATGCAGATAATTTTTTTTTTATAAAAATCCGTAATCTACTTATTATACTTCATGGACGTTATAAACTTTGTTTCTTGAGAGAAAAGATCTAAGGAGCAGTGTCTATTATAATAGCAGTTAGTCTTTATCACGTCACAACATTTTAACAACAATATGCCAGTCAATCTCAATATTCTTGTACAAAAAGAATGAAAATGACTGTAATTGCAACATTTCGTTGTTTGTTCATTCCAATAAATAATCTTAAAGCAATATAATGTGGTAATTATTTGCCGATATTAATTTTTAATAAGAATATTTTTTATTTGTATAAAAATTCGCAGTCTAATGATAAGAAACAAGTGGTATGAAGCATATTTACTCTATAATCTGTCGTTTGTTTTTAGAAAAATGGCTGTGCGTAGGCTGCCATGAACATTACATTTTTATACAAGTCGGTCTATGTAACCCAAACACCATTAGTGCAAATTTTATAAATACAGTAGTAGGATTACGTTATTGTAGAGCCATTTGTATTCTTGTATTATGTTGCATGACTCGTTGGATTTCTTGCATTTTCATTGTATTATTTTCGGAAATGCTGTGTGAGAATGACGATACTTACGTAAGGGCCACGATCACCCTTTGGCCCAGTGAACCCACGGTCTCCTTGCGGTCCTGGTGGTCCAGGAGGACCTCTCACACCATCGATACCCGGTTCACCTTTTTGACCAACAGGAAACGACCCTGCAAATGCCGATTGTCCTTTCTCTCCTTTAAGGCCAGGAGGACCTTTAAAACCACGGGGACCTTGTTCTCCGTGAACACCGGCATGACCGGGTTCACCCTGTAAATAAAACAACTTATATAAATACTGATACATAGAGATCTAAATTGTTATTTTGAGGTACCTTTAATAGGACACCTAAATAACAGAAATTGCAAATCCCCTTTGAACAAACGCACGTTTACTGAATAATGTTATTTACGTTGATGAAATAGCCCACCTAATTGTAAAATATACTCGGATAAGTTCTAACGTAAGCACAATCGCCGCGGAAAGTATGTTGATACTGTTTTTATTGGAAATAACTTTTTAAAAATTGGACCACGTGACTTGAACATTTTGAGATGTTAGAGTCACTAGTTTACTAAGCAACGAGTGAAAAGAATTTTGCAACAATTACAATTAGCTGGAATCATAAAAAAGGTCAAAAATGATGTTTTCTCAACTTCTTCATCGGAGCCTTTAATGAAAATTTAAGCACTGCGTTCTCTAGATCTTGGTATCTTATACATGCTGAAGATTTCGTCGAAATCGATTAATTTTGTTCTGAGCTACAGCCATTGAGATATAAAACACTCCAGATTTCCTATAGTTATTAACGATGACCGATTTCGACGAAAACGCGTTATTTAAATTGTCACGGTGGTCAGAGATAAAAAAAGAATTGAGAAAAAATCCTGTTTTAATGTTATTATAATTCTAACCAATCGCAAATTTTTATAGAACTTTTTTATTCATTGTTTTTTTTTAGTAAACTAGTCAGTCTAATATTTTATAAAAATTCAAAACACGTAGTTCAATTTTAAAGACGTTACTTCGTTCGAAAAGATGTTAACCTACTTTCCGCGGCGAGTGTATATTTTATGAAACAGCTTTATAGTGCAAGAATTTAATGTAAGATATAAATCTGTTGGTTCTTCGTTTCGTCGTACTTGTTCCCCGAAAAGTATTATCAGATCACAAGATATACATATATGAATAAGAAGAAATATTTTCCTATCACTGGTACGTTATCCGGATGCAGTATTTTTTTCAAATTCTATATTATACGATTACATGAAGCATTAGTTATCGTTAATTTACGTACGTCAGTTCCATTGCATCCATCACGTCCGGGAAAACCAGGAGCTCCTGGCGGACCTTGAACTCCAGGAACACCGTTTATGCCAGGAAATCCAGGTATACCCATTTTTCCCTACGGGGAAACAATAGAATTAGAACAACTACGAATAGCAATTTCCATACGTTCCTTTCCGACGGCACAATGATACGTACTCTGTCACCCTTCAACCCACGTGATCCCTGAGGTCCAGGATCACCTTTTTCCCCTTTTGGACCTAGGAGACCTTCTGTTCCAGGAAATCCTCTCTGACCTTTGGGACCTTGTGGCCCCATTATACCTGGTGGACCCTGTGCACATCAATCATGTTGGATTATTATTTTATATCACGGTGTCTATTTCATTAATTCTATAAGGAAACATGTGCTATTAACCACGTTATTAACCAGGTTCATAAACATTGTTGCTTGACTACCTAGCTACTGACAGTTTACCTCTTGCCCGATCATGTCGTGTCAGTCTCGTAATGAGAATTTAGAATGTTACCCACTAAATGTGGATATTGTCCACACACATTTCTTTAAATCGCAATCGAATTTTACATTCTATTATTAGTATCTAAACTTCAAAGTAAAGGTTAGCATATTTTTAAAAACTATTATTAGTATTAGTAAACTATTATTATTTTTAAAAACTATTAAACTATTATTAGGATCTAAACTTCAAAGTAAAGGTTAGCATAAATATAAATAGATATAAGTATAATATAAAATGTAACGAAATAAATATAAATTTTGTAGAAATTGTGTAGGAATTTATTGGAGACAAGCAAGTGCTAATCAGCTGTAATAGAAATCGTAAGGCATTAATTGTAACTTCTTCATGTTTCATTAAGGCCTGTAGGAAACGTAACGTGTCCAGGAGAACTTTATTAAATACATTGACAAATATTGATGAATAAATTGATAAATGATCCTAACCATACTCTGTTTTAGTTATGTCCAAAAAGGTCTACCGTTTGAGCTTTGATTATAATAATTATGTTATCGCGAGAAGTATGATTGTATTTAATTAAACCGAATGGAGAAATAAATTAAAAGCAAAGCGTATTCACTCGTTTACATAACGGTAAACATTAATTTTTATTTCTTCATTTCTTTTTCTTCCAAGAACTAACTTGATTATTATCATGGACCATCAATATTACGTAATATCTTTATGGAATGAGAAATATACAGAATAGTTTCAGCATTCCTTTTAACTATGGCCCATCAAACTGAAAAATCTGACAAAATGCTGCAGTTACTATTGTGATAATATATTATTACTACAAAAATATTGTACGTGTGCGCTTTCATCTTTTATTAAAACTCTTTATTTTTCGGGGACTTTCATTTTTTACAACTAGGATTATCAACTTAAAAGTTGAAGAAAATATTCAAAACATTACATCAACAGCTATAATACGTCACATTTTTTCGAAATTTATGCTAGGATTTAAATAAGGAACTTTTCTCGATCGAGAACTAAACACGACAGAGGGTTATACTAGGTCTACCGGAAAGTTCTGTCCGTTTAAGAAATGAAAGGAAATAATAGATTTTTCGTAAATTCAGTAATATTTATTGTACAATATAATTTCCGTCGTTACTTATGACCTCTTGCCAGCGTGATGGCAATTTGTGAGCAACATTTTTCAAAAATATATGTTTCACATGAATATGTGCATATCTATTGAAATTNAAAGCGTATTCACTCGTTTACATAACGGTAAACATTAATTTTTATTTCTTCATTTCTTTTTCTTCCAAGAACTAACTTGATTATTATCATGGACCATCAATATTACGTAATATCTTTATGGAATGAGAAATATACAGAATAGTTTCAGCATTCCTTTTAACTATGGCCCATCAAACTGAAAAATCTGACAAAATGCTGCAGTTACTATTGTGATAATATATTATTACTACAAAAATATTGTACGTGTGCGCTTTCATCTTTTATTAAAACTCTTTATTTTTCGGGGACTTTCATTTTTTACAACTAGGATTATCAACTTAAAAGTTGAAGAAAATATTCAAAACATTACATCAACAGCTATAATACGTCACATTTTTTCGAAATTTATGCTAGGATTTAAATAAGGAACTTTTCTCGATCGAGAACTAAACACGACAGAGGGTTATACTAGGTCTACCGGAAAGTTCTGTCCGTTTAAGAAATGAAAGGAAATAATAGATTTTTCGTAAATTCAGTAATATTTATTGTACAATATAATTTCCGTCGTTACTTATGACCTCTTGCCAGCGTGATGGCAATTTGTGAGCAACATTTTTCAAAAATATATGTTTCACATGAATATGTGCATATCTATTGAAATTTGCAATGACATTATCAGACAGAACTTTCCGGTAGACCTAATAATTTTGCAAAAACGTTATCTTTCTACGATCTATCGAATGATACATCAGCCATTTAAATCGACTTGACCTCCTTAACCGACTATACCCTTTAACCGTGCATCACTGTATTAGATTTCGTCAATTATGTACACTGGTCTACGAAAGTATTTAAAAGATGATATATTCATTGTAATTCGAGATAAACGCCTACGTTAAAACCAATAACAGATCATGGATCACAAAAGTATCCACAATGGAAGGTTCAGTAGGATGTCGATTCACCTTTTACCTTTAATACTTTTCGAAAACGATTATACATTGAATTGGCATGACGTAAACTTTGATGTAGCATTTACATCGATAAATTGCCATGTATCACGAATTTTCTTCTTTAGTTCTTCTTTCGATGTAACTTAATCTTCTATCCACATTACCCCATCGGTGCTCGATGGGATATAGGTCAGGACTTTGTTGTCGATGTGATAATGTACGTGGGGTATTATACAGCGTGATCCATTTAAACCGATCCAATCAAATATCTTCGAAATCATCGACGATATTAAAAAATGTTCCAAATGAAAGGATGGTTTTAGGGGGCATGTAATCCGATATTAATAAGATTTTTTTTAGGTGCATGTGTCGAGGACATATGAAGGTCAACTTTATTTTTTTTAAATGAAATTATATACTTTTTATTATACTAGCCGATTCAGCTTTTCGGTCTCATAAAAATACTAAAGCATTTATTGTGAAATATCATTGTTTTAGAAGTAATAGTAATAGTAATTTTAGTAATGCATAGTGATAGCAGTCGTCTACCTAAAGTTGGTGTTCAAAAATACAACCTTCAGCCTAAATACAAAGATTTACTCGGTCTCTAAAAAATATTAAAATTCAAATATCTTCTAAACCAATGATTTTTAGTATTTTTATAAAGAGAAAGACGAGCTGAATCGACTAGTATAATAAAAAGTATATGATTTTATTTAAAAAAATGAAGTTAATCTTCATATGTCCTTGACGCATTCACCAAGATAAATCTTATTAATATCAGTTGACGTGTGTGTGTGTGTGTGCTCCCTAAAACCATTTAAATTTCGTTTAAAATATTTTTTATTATCATCGGCGGTTTCGAAGATATTTAAATGGATCACCCTATATAATAGCCATTCTTTAACGACTTTTGCCGAATGCCTTGGGGCGTTGACCCGTTGGAAGCAGCAATTTTCTGACAAATTTAGTTTACTTACACTGTCTTTCAAATTGTTCTTCAAAATTGCTAAATATTTAGTTTTATCCAAAATTCCGTCGATGAAAACGAGACTTCCTACGCCACTTGCTGTTATGCAGTCTCATACTATCACCTATCCACCACCATGTTTTGATTTTGTTCTACAAAATCTTTATTTATTCTTTTATCTCTTTGCTTTCATTTATTGAATGATTTATCAATCAATTCAATATGAATTTATTCTCTTTCTTTCGCAATGATTCCCTCATTCTTGTACTTTCTTATGATTATACTAAACCGTATGTATGCTGCTGCCTATCAATTCTGCAATTTCTTTTACAGTTTTTCCTTTTTCGTACCATTTTACTATTAATTCTCTTTCTGCGTTACACGTTTCTGATTTCTTCTAATCTATTGGGTTGGCATCTAAGTAATTGCCGATTTCAGTTATAGATGTCTCTCACTCCCATTTTTATGATATCCGTAAATGTTATATTATAAAATTATTATTATTATTATGTTATTTTTTATTATCCGTGAATGTTAGCAACTGGACAAATTGAATGCAGCGGTCAAGGAAAAGCGACCAGAATTGATCAATCGTAAAGGTGTCATTTTCCACCAGGACAATGCTAGGCCGCACACGTCTTTGACCACTCGGCAAAAATTGATGGATATTGGTTGAGAATTGATGTTACACCCACCATATAGTCCTGATCTCGCGCCATCGGATTACCACTTATTTCGATCCCTGGACAACTCCCTTCGTGGTAAAACTTTTAATGATGACGACGCTGTAAAATCTTACTTAACTCAGTTTTTGGCCGAAAAGGATCAGACTTTCTACGAGCGTGGAATTTTCAAGTTGTCAGAGAGATGGCAAAAGGTCATCGAACAAAATGGAAATTACATTACAGATTAAACTTTATTCCAAGTAAAAAAAAATTTTTTATTTCATTGAACAAATCGGCAATTACTTAGTTGCCAACCCAATATTTCATGAGCATTTGATCTACAAGAAATTACAACAGAAATTCTGCACCGGATTTCATTCAGACCAGGTGCCTGTGAACTGAAGAAACATTGTTTAAGTTCTATAATCGATCGAAACATAGTACGAAAGTTACACTCAGATTTTCGATACTTTTTTAACCCATGATTTACTGCTATATAGTTCTAATAAACACATCTCCTCGGACGTGTGTTAATTGAACTCAATAAAAATATACATTCCTCTGACATGTATGTACCCGCGGTGCATCGTACATGTGAAAATTTCAAAATATCTATTATCTATATCTAAATACCGATCATGTATATATTGTGTTCATTTCTACTATAAACAGTGTGATAATTAAGTTTTAAGACCAATAAAACACGATAGTAACAAAATCTCGTGTTGTTTTATTCAAAATAATCTCCTCTTGATTCGATACACTTGTTGCAGCGATTCGAAATTCAAATGCATGATTCAGCTCATTTTGTGGTATTGCCTTTAATTCCGATGTTGAAGCTGTTTGGATGGTCGGAATATCTTCGAAATAGCATCCCGTTAACATTAATTTCAATTTTGGAAATAAAGAGAAGCTGCACGGGTTCAAATCAGGTGAATATGGCGAATGATTGAGCACACAGACTTGATTTCTGACCAAAAATTGACGAATAATGAGTGACTTGTAAGATGGCGCGTTATCGTGCAACGGTGTCCAACTGTCTGGATCTTGATAATCGGAACGGATACGACGTAATCAATCGAAGAATTGCGGTCATTTGCAATAAGATTACGTATTTTTTCGATCATTTCAAGTTTGCGAATTGAAATTAGCCTTCCCGTATGTTAGTCATTTCTTGACGATTCCCTACCATCCAAAAGTCGTTTATGCCACACGAAAACATTTGATCGACTTAAACAAGCATCGCCATATCCTTGCTGCATCAATCCGGATGTTCCTGGTGCGCTTTTACCAAGTCTTGCGTTCAATTTAATAACCGCTTTTTGTTCCATGGTACAATTTCAACATCGATTAAGATTTGGTCAGGAAGAACTGTCATAACTTCGTCATTTGTCATTCGATTGGCATAAACTTAGGTGCGTTAGACAGACAAATGATTGACCTTTCTAAGGATGCTAATGCTCGACAGATGTCGCCATTACTTGTTGAGATATGATGTCAGTCGGAAAAATTAATTGTCACACCGTATGAATATATCATCTTTTAAATACTTTCGTGGTCCAGTGTCCACGATTAACCTTTTAGGTACGGCTGAATTCTGCGCGAGGCTATTTCTCTGAACGGCAGAGTCTGAAATGTACTGTACAAAGTCTGATACCGTATATTCTGTCTATATATCGTTAAGACTGTTGTAAATCGATGCGAAGACAAAAGAAGTGTGAAATAATGCATATGAAGACGATTATTTGATTCAAACAATGAGCGAGTGAGCTACTAGAGTAAGCCACTATAGTGGCGCATCGTTCAAAGAGATGACTTCCGCGAAAGCCACTATAGTGGCGCGTCGTTCTGAAAGATGGTATCCGCGGAAGCCACTATAGTGGCGCGTCGTTCTGAAAGATGACATCCGCGGAAGCCATTATAGTGGCGTAATCTTAATAAAAGATTAAGTATGAGTTTTTTCTTTTGCCGTATTTCCAGCAACGTGTGACGTTCGCAACTCACAATCAGTTACGATTGCCTTTGCAAAAATGTAATAAGTTGGTACTCACTCGGGAACCTTTCTCTGCGAAACATTTCGGTACGCAGCATGCTGACCCCGTACAATTTTGCGGAGCACGTCCTGGAATTGGTACGGCCGAATAACTGCTCGGATAATTGTCCGAACTTCCAGCCGCTCCATATCCTCCTTGACTTTGTGAGTATCCTGTATTACCAGTCGATCCACGACCGTATGAACTCCCATGGCTGTAAGGGTCCCCAGATCCACGATTATCCACAGGTGGTCTATCATATCTGTCGTCGTATTCACGACGTCTTCCCTGATAATCACCACCGGCTGCTGGATTGTAAGGATCCGGAGCACCTCGATCTTGTCCCTCGTTGTAGCCTCCATTTCTGTCGGCTTCGTAGAAAAAGATGATTATTCATAGTACTGGACGATTGTCTCTCAGCTAGGAAACGAAAATGGACAACTTGAAAACAGATGATAAATCGTGAAAACGAGCCGCGAGACTCGATTAATCGTATCTCTTCTTTCCAAATTGTCCATTTTCGTTCCCCAGCTAAGGAAGAATATGAGAGAAAAATTACTGTAATTCGAATAAAATTCAATCGGTTTGAATCAGTACAGTAAATTTTCTCCGATTGTCCCTCAGCTTGGAAACAAAAATGGACAAGTTGGGAAAAGGAGGTACGATTATTCGAGCATTGCGACTCGTTTCTATAATTGTTGACAATCGATGTCTATAAAAACGAGCCGCGAGGCTCAAATAATCGTATCTCATCTTCCCATATAGTCCACTTTTTTTTGCAAGCTGAGGGAGAATTGAAGAAAATTTACTGTAATGTCCTGTATAAATCATATTTTATCAAGTATAGTGACGCCTAGAACTATTCGGATTAAGCAGAATCACATGAACGTTCGGATAATAGAACAGTTACTAGCTTACAGTGTCGAATTTCACCTTTAGCGATGTATTAAGTATATCGCTTTGCATATTGGTTACTCTAATTTGAGCTGATTACTTGTTGAATGTATTTGGACAATAGAAAAATCTTAAAATAATAAAATTGCATATACAGTGTCCCAGAATTTCTGTCACACCCGTAAAGGAGTGATCCCTAAGGTGATTTAAAGTAACTTTTTTCTCAGCGAAAATGTTAACCGCGGTTTCGTTTGCGAGTTATTAAGGAAAAACACGGACCAATCGGAGAGCAAACACGGGTTACGAATTTTGGTGCGATAGCGAATGCGACGTGAGAGTGGTTGCGAGGACGAGGCACCATGATTGGTCTCGCTCTCCGATTGGTCCGTGTTTTTCATGAATAACTCGTTAACGAAACCACGAAGAAGAATTTCGCAAAGGAAAAAGTTACTTCAATTCCCCAACGGGAATTCTGAAAAACTCAATATGAAACAATTTAACTATCTTTCTGAACTATTTATCTTTGAATTGTTTCTCTCTCTCTCTCTCTCTCTCTCTCTCTCTCTCTAAACTATTTATAGAAATTTTAAATGAAATAAAGATCATTGGAATCGAAAATACATTTTATTCTTTAAAGATCATTATAGTTTGACTTTCAAAGTAATCCATGACAGAAACAACAGAAATTTTATGANAGATAGAGAGATAGAGAGAGATAGAGAGATATAAAATTAGAGAGTTAGAGAGATATAGAATTATATATATATATATATATATATATATATATATATATATATATATTTTATGATATAATATACATATAATATATATAATATAATATAACATAACAATATAATTATATTAATATTAATATTATATTATTATATTAATATTAATTATATATACAATTATATATATACAGGGTGTCCCACAATTATTTTAACAGCCGAAAATGAGGGGTAGCTGAGGTCATTTGAAGTAACTTTTTCCTTTGCGAAAATGCAATCCGCGGCTTTGTTTACGAGTTATTAACGAAAAACACTGGCCAATGAGAGGTGACGGTGCGAGAGAGAGGGTCCGCGAGAGAGTCCGCAGCACGAAGCTTTGACAGAAGGTCGGAACGGACTCGAGCCGCGTTCGAAGTATTGAACAAGTCACGAAGCGAGAACTTTCCGGATTTTTTTAACTACATAACAGTGACATTTTTAAGAAAAACGCTGTTCACCTTTACTTTAGAACGTCTGAAGAATATTTACTCATTTTTCGGACCCGAAATAATAAGTAATTTAACCGTGACGGCCGTTTTAATTTTCTAGTGTGCATGACACCTCGTGTGTAACATATGAAATTTTTAAGCAAGGTGTACAGTGAAGATTAACAAAGTACGTAAATGATATTTTACGTTAATGGTATTTTATTTAAATAATTCCGTGTCCGAACATAGTTCAACGAATGATTCGCAAAGCTAATTTAATAAATAATAATCGTGTTAAAGGACGTAAGGGATATGTTTGTTAGAGAAATATGAAGAATATTATCAATAAGAAACTCACCCATTTAGTTGTAAAATCCACTTCATGTACGGAAATGTGTGCAGGAGGATAGTGCATTGACCTCGTACAATGTATGATGAACTGCACAGCTGATCTGTATCCGACGGCGACGAACAGAAGGATATCTCCGGGCAGGCAATTTCAACGTTTACTTTCACTGCATTATTACTAAACACTGATCACTTATCAATAATATTTATGGACCAACTTTCCTGGGTTAATATGTATAGCTCTGAAAAGAGCCGATTTTTTTATGCGACGCGTTCGAAGTTCTCACTGTTATCGACACGTATGTACCGCGTTGTCGAGATGAACTGCAGAAGACTGGCACGATGGCCGACTGTGTTTCGTTCTCCTACGAGCGAATTTCAACTGTTTTTCATCGAACGCGAACATTGTCAGCCATCGTGCTAGTCTTCCGCAGTTTATCCCGTCAACGCGGTATGTGTTCTTAACGATATGAACTTCGAACGCGTCGCATAAAACAATCGGCTCTTTTCAGGGCCATACATATTAACCCAGGAAAGTTGGTCCATAAATATTATTGATAAGTGATCAGTGTTTAGTGATAATGCAGTGAAAGTAAACGTTGAAATTGCCTGCCCGGAGATATCCTTCTGTTCGTCGCCGTCGGATACAGATCAGCTGTGCAGTTCATCATACATTGTACGAGGTCAATGCACTATCCTCCTGCACACATTTCCGTGCATGAAGTGGATTTTACAACTAAATGGGTGAGTTTCTTATTGATAATATTCTTCATATTTCTCTAACAAACATATCCCTTACGTCCTTTAACACGATTATTATTTATTAAATTAGCTTTGCGAATCATTCGTTGAACTATGTTCGGACACGGAATTATTTAAATAAAATACCATTAACGTAAAATATCATTTACGTACTTTGTTAATCTTCACTGTACACCTTGCTCAAAAATTTCATATGTTACACACGAGGTGTCATGCACACTAGAAAATTAAAACGGCCGTCACGGTTAAATTACTTATTATTTCGGGTCCGAAAAATTAGTAAATATTCTTCAGACATTCTAAAGTAAAGGTGAACAGCGTTTTTCTTAAAAATATCACTGTTACGTAGTAAAAAAAAATCCCGAAAGTTCTCGCTTCGTAATTTGTTCAATACTTCGAACGTGGCTCGAGTCCGTCCCGACCATCTGTCAAAGCCTCGTGCTGCGTACTCTCTCGCGGACTCTCTCTCTCGCACCGTCACCTCTCATTGGCCAGTGTTTTTCGTTAATAACTCGTAAACAAAGCCGCGGATTGCATTTTCGCAAAGGAAAAAGTTACTTCAAATGACCTCAGCTACCCCTCATTTTCGGCTGTTAAAATAATTGTGGGACACCCTGTATAATTGTATTGCACACTGTCAGCTGAAATGTGTTATATTGTTATTGTATAATCGATGTTCGCTAGCCGATGCATCGTATCGTCGTTTGTAAATTGTTATCTGTATGATGTCTTCATTATCGTTTGCATTCGATCTTCGCTGTTCAATGTACCATGTTTGTACTATTTATTGTTGTCATTGTTTCCAATTAACACTAGGTTAGCGTAACTCGGGTCCATTTGGATTCAGGGTTGAAAAATTGTGATTTGAATATCAAGTTTCCGTTAAACTAATTTAAACTTTCACGTAGTTTATTAAGGTCTGTAGAAAACTAATGTCTCTGGAAGGAGTACCTTAAATGATATGTTGACAAAAATTTAGTAATAAAATTATAAATGATCCTGAGCATAGTGAGTACTATTGTTGTCGAAACGCGGTTCGCTGTTCGAGTGTCAAAAAATTGTTGGCAAAGAAAATTTAGTCTTCGCATTAGTCGTTCATGGAAACTTTCGTCTTTAAATTATAGGTAAAGTAAATTTTATGTACTCACGAATCACTGTTTCGTGATTCGTTAAATTTTATAGAATACCATAAACTTGCGCGCGCACATAACTGGTTGTGTTATCGATTAATAGCAAACTATTACACAATGGTGCAAAGGCAAAAGATAAACGGTCCCATTAATTAACAGCCACTAGTTGTGTCCGTAAATCTCGCAATATTGCAGAACAGCTATTACAGTACAAAGAAGATGAACGCTTTCCTTTGGTAATATATAATTACTGATATCATAAATCTTATAATGGTCTGCGGTCAGATGAAAATCTCATTAAATCATTCTATTTTGCTGCGTGCATGCACTTCACGCAGACTGAATTTATTTCCGGGAATATTGTTCAAAAGATCAACATTTTTATTCCGTGCACACGAGACTCTTAAAACTTTCTTAGGAGATATTTGCCGCAATCTGTTAAATAAAACTCAAATCTAAATAATAAGTAATATCAAAAGTAAATTAATTTTTACACCAATCTATTGTTACTATAGCTATCATCTATTACTACTGAATGTTCTGAGTTCTTTTTGACAGATAATACTAAAATTTTTATTAGCGCAAACGTTAGCATAGTGAAAATCCAGGATACTTTCTGAGGCAATTGTATTTTCCAAGATAATTGTAGCCAGTAGTGTTTCTTGGCGTTTCTTTGCATTTGACAAATTCAACTGAGGACGTTATCAAATGATATACAGTGATGAACAAAAATGCCCACATACCTTTTAAAATGATATAACTTTCTTAAAACTGGTATAAGTGACTTGAATTATTTTGTAAATGTTAAACGGACTAGTTCATTATACAATGACTAAATTTTTATAGTGCTATTACTTGGAATAAAAGAAATGTCAAGAAACTCATGTTTTTTGTACTTTTTTATCTGAGCATATAACGAAAATTAAAAATTTTAATTGGTACTCGGTAATCTATATACATGCTGAAAATTCCGTTGAAATAGGTCGACGCAACTAAGACATGTAAAAATGACTTATTTTTGGTCAAAATTCGTGAAACACTGCGATTTTCATGATCTTTAATTGTTCACAGCTTATGCCTCAGGTAAAAACGTGAAGAAACGAGAGTTATTTTACATTTTTTTTATTCCAAGTAATAGCAAAATTAAAAACTCTAACATTTACAAAAATAATTCAAGTCGTTTAGACCAGTTTTAAAAAATTATATCGTCTTAAAAGATGTATGAACACTCTTGCTTGTCACTGTATGTGCCTGCAGTTTATGATATTGTTCTTCAAAGTGAGAATGAAAAATCTAAAAATTCTCTACATTACGTTCATACATTTAATGTTATTTACATCACGTTAGAATCCTCGTCAAATATGTACAATGAGCTTTCATCAAGTTTAACTCAAAGTTAAAAATCAATTTTTTCATTTCCATGATTATATGTATTTACGTAATTGCAATGTATAGGGTAGCGGAGCCGGTTGCTGTGGGGTGACCAATTGCTGTGCCTTCGGCTTGTTTTCGGACATAATTAAACTGTATATTTATTGAGTAAGACATTTAAAATGTTTTTATTAAAAAGTAAACAAAATAAAAGAATAAAAAAAATTAGTATGTCGTATTTGATAAATATGAAGTTAATTATGTTCGAAAACAAGCCAAAGGTGTAGAAAGTATCAGAACATTCTTTCAAACGGAATAACTTTTTTATAGTTGGGCTAAGCGGTCTAAACCTTTTAATAACTAATACTAAATACTAGACCATGGCTAAAAAATTGTTTTCTAAAATTACAATTAGTTCTCATGATAAACAATTTCTTTATTTGGGCCCATAACGAAATTTTAAAAAATGCATTTTGAAGATCAGGTAACTTATACACATACTGAAAATTTCCTTGAAATCAATCGACGTATAGACAAACTACAGCCATTGAAATTACCTACTATTGGTTTGAATTCGTGAAAAACAGCCATTTTTGAGGTCTTTAATTGCTTACGGTCAACCGATTTCTATAAAATTTTGAGCATGCATATAAGTTACTGAGATTTTTAAAATGCATTAAGTTACTCCGTGTTGTAAAAGGTGCACAAATACTTTCTACACCCATTGTGTGTGT